CAGATAAGAATACAAACTAAAAATTGCTAAGTTTCTTATATTTAGCATGTGACAAATCCTTTTGAAATAAAAATGGAAAGTAGTGTTTAAAGCTGCAGAATTAGACAGGAGAAAGGGCTTCCCCATTTTGCTTGGCATATTTCTGTATGTCTTACAATCAGCTGATATTTGTAATATACAGCTTGCTCATAACCTCAGCAGGGATGGCCAGGCTGCAACGACTGCAGGGGACCTACTCACTGAGTGTTTTGAGACAGGCTGAGAACCTGCCCAATTCACTCAGGGTCCTATTTTTGGCTTTCAAGCCAGAGCAAAGCATCTCATAAAACAGAAGTAAGAATGCACTGTCATAGTAAATCATGACATGAGACTCTGTGACCCACCATCATCACGAGAGTACACTGTCATAGTAAATAGTGACATGAGATACTATGGTCCCACCATCTTCATCTATGGAGGCATGTCCTTAAATATTATCATAAGCAATTCGCTGCTTATTTAATTCTGTGTGCATTTCACAGAGTTCTCCCTGGTGTGGCTAGAGATATTACAGAAAGTCACATGTGAATTGGCACCAAGTTAGCTATGTTTTGTCTTTCTCAGAATATCTTCAGGAGATTTTAATAAAGCTTTGGGGTTTGCTTATTTTGTTTCCACTTCAAACAAACAAACACCCAACCCTTTCCAGGGGCCCATGCTGTAATTGAGGTCACTTGCCAATTGTCTATTTTTCCTAAAGATATGACCATTTTTCACACCTGAACTTCAAGCGATTCAAACTCCTTTTGAAGACCCAGAACTGTGACAAATGCTTTTGTGATGTGCATGCTTCCAGGCTAATTTTATAGAAATGAACATTTTAATTAATGTTTAATAACCTCATGCAATGACATCTAAGTTTCTTTTTCATGAAAAATGGGCAGATTCCAGACAAATTTTAAAACAGCAAACAAACTTCTACATCTCAAAGGAAACCATCCAAATCTGAATGATTAGTTTCAATATCAATAGTGACATTCCAATATCTGTAATATAGAGATTCCTTTTAAATTGATTAGAATGCCTTATGAATTCACATTGAATCATAATCAGTCATAGTATATAGTTTGAATGGCATCATTTCCTCACTAATTGCCAACATTCTCAGCACATCTACCGCTATCTTTATGAATTTGATCTTGATTGACAGAAATCTACTGTTTTTCAAGACTCCTTGAATGGCTAACTCACCGAGAAAAGGTGTAGAATATAGATTTTAATTCACAGTCCAAATCTCTAACAACCTCAGATCAATGCTGCTGGTTTATCTCAACTACACTTTGTGTGTGTGTGTGTGTGTGTGTGTGTGTGTGTGTGTGTGTGTGTTTGCACGTGCTCATGTGCATATGTGTATGATGCTTCTGCAGAGTACCTATACACATGTGCGCACACACGGAGGTCAGGGGGACAAGTCCAGGTTTTGGTCCTTGCCTACCACTGTGGCTTTGTTGTTCACTGCTTCGAACATCATGTTAGCTGGCCCACAAACTTCCAAAGATTCTCTTGTCTCTGTCTCCCATCTTGTCATGGAACTGCTGGGATTACTGGCTTTAAGGGAGTCTTCAGGATCCAAACTCTGATCTTTGAGTTGCAAGCATTTTACCCACTGAGCCCACCAGCCCAAGGACTATTTTTTGAGGAACAAGAATTTCTAAGATTTCTTCTGGCTACAGCTTGAATATAGGACCATACTGATATTAAACTGTTTTAAAAGACGGGCAGCGGGGGAGAAGGTAGAAGAAAACTCAATATAAGAATAAGGGAACAAATGAAAAGAAAAAGCCATTTTGAGGACAAGTGACCTACTTCCACCAGAGCTACCACAAAGTAGCATGTCCATCATTGACAGCATAGGGCCCAAAGAAGGGGGAAAGGAATCCAAGTTTTAATGAGTTTCTATGCAACTTGTAGCCTGGTTTGTTGCTACACAGAGGCAGGTGCCATGTCTGAGTATGTAAGGAGATCTATGCATACAGGGAGGATCAAGGAGTGATAGATGTTAGACATAGAAATTCTCCTTTGTTTCAAAAAATGGTTTGAAGATGAAGCCGACTCTACACACAGGACTTGCTTCAGTATTCATAACAACCTTTATATGTACAAAATACACACACATACACACACACACACACACACACACACACACACACACACAAATACTCACACAAGCCAGGTGGTGGTGCATGCTTATAATCCCAGCCATCAGAAGGAAGAGGTAGGAGGATTAGTAGTTACAAACAAGTCTCTGAGATATATGGAGAGTGAGACAGACAGACAGTCAGACAGACACACACAGACAAACACACACAGAGACAGAATTTTAAAAAACAAGACAACAGGTCTTGGACTCTCTTCAAGCTTTGACAGTGACAGAAAAGGATGGGGTCACAAAGGAAGGTATTAAAGAACAGAGGATGCCCAAGAAGAAAAAGAAAAAAAAAAAAAAACCAAACAGAAGAAAAAAGGCACAGACACATGGAAAATCCAGAAAGAGGAGGAGAGGAACACACAGAGCCCATCATGGATGAAGTCCAAGGGGAGAATTCCAGTCCTGGTGGCAATTAGAAGAGACCCAGTTGGCAGGGATGGCCTTCTGCAGAGAGGTTGCTGCCACCCTCTTTCCTACAAGGGTTGTGTGGTCATGGCTTTCCAGGCCCGGCTAGGGTAGCTTGGTTTCGGACTGTACAAAGAAGTCAGTTTCTATATCCCCTCAACTACCAGGCTGCAATAAGCAGGTAGTTCCCAGGTGGGGAACAAGCAGCAGAGACCCGAGAGTCTCTAGGCTCTCAGACTCAGGCTAAAGCTGCTGCACTCTTGGTCTCTTTGTCTACCTTCAAGACCCTTCTTTTGGTTCAGTGGATCCTTTCAAATCTCTTCCTCTAAGACGACTCATCAACAAAACCTCCAGCTACTTTCCTAGTGGAGACAGGTGTATTCAACAGATTGAGTGTCAACTAAATATATGGAAATAGAAAGTAGAAGCAAAAACGTATGAGTCACCCTAATTTTTTGGAATAGGCAAATTGGGGTGTGTATTAAAATAAAAAGTTGCATATTTGTGGTGAACACTGGTACAGCACTTGAAGACCCTGAAAAGCATACCCGTAACTCTGAGCTTAACTCTTGCCAGGGGATTAGGTTGGGGGTTCTGGGTAAAGGTGAAAATCTTGGACTTCTGACAGGCTAGGAGTAAAACAACTGGGTTACTTTGCTATCAATATACACAAGGTCTTCCTATCTTGAGTCCAATTTAATCTCTTGTAGGCGTTCTTAGTTCTGTCAGTATTTGAATTGTGGTGTTCCTGGGGACATGGTGCATGAGGATGTTTTCCACATCCCCATTGCTTGCAGCTCAGCCTTCCTGGTTTGCTAATCTGAGTACCACCTGTCTTTCTGTTTCCCAGCTTCCAAAATCTTGCTGCTATTATTTTTCTTCAGTTTTCCTCGACTCTGTGGCCTCATACCACCCCACAACTGCTTGAAACACTTGTTATGTGTTCTGATTTCTGAAGGGAGTGGCACAAGACCTTGGATGGAGTTGCAAACACTGAAAAAAGAAATAAGGAAGGGAGGGAGGGATGGAGGGAGGGAAAAGAGAAGAATAGAGGAGAGTGAATAAGGCTGACAGAGTTTTATTGCTTTGTAATATTGTGTAAGACTAATCTTTAACCTCAATATTGAATATATGGTTTGGTATGTAACAACAATGAAGAAAGTGTGATCCTGAGGGATTGTCTCATGGATGGAATGTAGTGCATGTCTGCCTCTTCTGCAAGTGGGCTGTGTGATTTGTTTTGAGATATTGTCTCCAGTCTCTAAATCCCTCCAATGGAGCTTCACTAGGCTGAGAAATACAATTTGTGCACCTATGGATGCTAAGTGTGTGCCAAAACAATATACTGATAAGGACTTTGTAAGCCTCTTGTCTCTGCCTCCTAAGAGCTGAGAAATAGGCTTGCATCACTGTGTCTACACTCTTGTACCTTAAGGTAAAATGCAAATACAACTGTTCTCCGATGAGATTTCTTACCCACTGAATTTTTATTCTTAAAGATTTCTTAAGCACTGTTGATGAGATTCTAAAAGCAGGCAATTCTGTTTATTTTCTTTAAACTCTTATAGCATGGCTTTGCTGTTTTACTGTACTCAGGTTGAACCTACAACCTGAGCATGTTCCTTTAAAGAGATTATCTTTTTCCTTACATACATACTACCATCATTTTCCATGAGTATTATGCCTATTATCAACTGTATCCATTGGAAATAGTTTATATTTTATCCAAAGGTAAATGTTGTGGCTACTCTTCTGATGCTATGATAAAATACTGTGATCAAGGCAATTTAGAAAAGAATGAGTATACTTTGGTTAATGGCTTCAGGTTAGAGCAAAGAAGCATCTGAGTGCTCACATCTTGATGCATAACCAGAAGGCAGTGAGAGACATGGAAGAAGAGAGGGAGGGAGGAAGGGAGGGAAAGGGAAGGGAAGGGAAAGTCTAATAATGGCACCATTCTCTTGAAACCTCAAAGCCTGCTGTTTTCATTGGGTTCCTATTGCTGTGAAGAGATACTATGACTAAGGTAACTTACAAAGGACAGCATGTAGTGAGGACTTGCTTACATGTTGTCACTGTAGGGAGCATGGTGGCAGGGAGGCAAGCATCTCACTGGGGCAGCAGCTGAGTGCTCATACCCTGATCAGGCAGCAGGCAGACATAGACAGTCTCAAAGCCCACTCCCTGTGACACACCTCCTCTAAGAAGACGGCAGACCCCTCCTAATCCTCCCCAAACATTTCCACCAACTGGGGACCAAATATTTAAATACACGAGTCTATCGGGGCTATTATCATTCAAATCACTACAGCAAGAAATGTGCACAACAAAAAATCTTCAAGTAGTTTCAGGTGGCATTAGAGTTGTCAGTGTGCTTTTAGTTCTTGAACATTCCTTTCTTTTGCAGAAAAATATGTCATTGCTCAACCAATATTTGTTTTTGAGAAAGGAAAACACACTTTCAAGGTAAGATCAAACTATTTTGGTTTTGATAAATAATACTTTAAGGACATAGTTATAATAAGATAGTAGCTGCAGGGTATTATGTTCTCCTTCTCCACTAGCTGAATGTTCATGTAGTTGGGACTCACAGACATCAGTTTGGTTGAAATTTCCAAGTTCAGGTAAAGCAGTTTATCTAAAAGAATATGCTTATTTGGAGTGACTTTAAAAAGGTGACTTAAAAAAAAAAAAAACCATCACCACCACCAACAAAAAACCCAAAACAACAAACAAACAAACAAAAAACAGAACAAGATTAGGAAGGTTAAGGATCTCCCCACATCCCCAAGTCCTTGATACTGAAAGAGACTAAAACTGGGTATAAAAATCTCCAGCAAACAATGTTAGTTTGAAAAGGTTTATCTCATGCTGAAGCATCATCCTGGAACCATAGGAGTTGGGAGGTCAGCTAACCTACTAATTGCCTTATTGTGGCTGTGAGAATTCATTCTTACATGCAGTCATTAACAAATTGTTCACAAAATTAACTACACCTTTGTCCAAAAAGCAGATTCTTGCTCTAGACCAACTGCTTCAGAATCCTGAGAGCAGGTACCTCAGAAATCTACATTTTAAACAAGTTTTCAGAAATGATTTTACAGTCACTGAAATCAATAATCACTGGACTAGACTTCTCTGTTGACATGTCCTTGGTGAAACTGTGGTGTGTCCCTTTGTCCTTTGTGAGCTGAAGAACCACTTATATGGAGGCAGGCTGGAAAAGTGATGCAATGATATCAAACACTCAGCTTTCACTGGCAGTCTTGTGTATCGCGGTAAATAAGGATCAGGATAAACAAATAGGCCAAGTAGATGTTTATTCAGGGAGAAATAACTTACGACCTAGACAGATGAACACCAGGAAATTCAACCCGATCCTCTCCTGTCCGAGTCACGCCAGAAAGAGAGCGCCTTTCCTGGCCCCCTCCGACCTCCTTCCACAGGTCACTTCCGCCCATGGCTCCACCCCCCAATGGGCGTGGTCAGTGCCACAGAAGGACTATCTCACTACAATTCCCCTTTTAGTCTAAAGAAAAGATTTAGGCTTAATACAAAACTATATACAAAACAATGAATAACAAGTGTGCTCTAAGAAAAGGAGAATCGAGAACAAAATGACCTACATATCTAGTCCTAGGGTGAGGGCATAATGGAGTTAACAATAGAGTTGTCCTAAGCTGGAAAACGTAAGTCTAGTACCTAATATATCTAACTAGGAAGAGAGAATAATAGTTGTGATAGTTTAATCTTCAACCTCATCAAGACCTGAGAAGGAAATTAACAATATTAGAGTAGACAGGAAATGCGGATGGACAACTTCCAAAAGGTGCAGCAAGGACAGAAACAGCAAGCACCTGAACAGTCAACCTAGGTCTCACAGCAACGTTGGTACACCCAGATTTGGCTAAGGCCAAGAGAACTTGACAGACCACAACAACAGCAGGGAGGTAGAATGGCTGTCTTACCCTGACTTGGCAAGGTCAAGCAGTCTTCTATATTTGTCTCCTGCAAGCACATAGGACTGCATGTCCAAATCAGTGGTCAAGGTGGGGGCAATTCTATGCCCAACAGGCCATTAGCTGAGGCGAGATTGAACTCCAGCAGGAGCAACAACAGTGTCCAACATATTTTCGGGAAAGTGCACGATGCTGTCAGGAGCAACAGTGTCTCATATCAATGGAGTACTAATATTAAAACATTTAAATGCCATGTTCTGCATGTCTATGAAGTGATTGAAGATTAAGCATCTATATCTGACTAATCTCATAGGTACAGGAAATGTGAGTGAAGATAATCTGTAATACTCGGGAACTTAGCTAAAAAGACTGATTAAAACTTTCCTGAGTAAAGCAGGAACAAATACTTAAACAATATAACTATTTACATATACATACATGTAAATGCCTAAAATAGAGGTAGAGTATAAGTGTCAAGACAAGAGGTAGAACTATAAAGGGCAGCAAGATAAATATCCCAAATTGTATCAATATACAAAATGTCTTGAATACAAGAAAAGTATACATACATAGAATATGGTAAAAAATAATGTGCATAAAACATTGTAAGTGGAAATATTTAACACAATATAACAAAATATAAACTTAATTTTACATAGCTTACCACACTTGTGTCTTTTCAGAGACCTGCAGAAGACAGCCTGGACGAGACAGCAGAACGTGGTAATGAATGCCATTCTGTGTTGCAAAGCCCCAAACCCCAATCGTTATACAAAATAATAATAATAATAATAATAAGTAAAGCACAGTATTTGGCCTTGTGGCACTGACTCTGTAAAATGTAAAGGGTTTCCTTGTTCTTAAATGTGCACATGGATTGCCCTTTGGTTTGAAAGATTTGGGGGAGCTCCATGAGTCAGCACGTGAAGTTATGGCCTACATTCACAGAAGGCTGATTCTAGTCCCGGGCTGTGTGTTATTGTAAACTATTCCTGTTGAATTTCTTTCAGAACTCGGAGGTTTCTCAAGAAAGCGTGTAAGGTCTTCATCTGTCACACTCCATACTACAGATTCTCACTCTCCAGGAGGTAGGTATAGTTTTGACTATTATTCTATATGTGAAATCACTAAAAAGCTTTCCAACCTGCCATTGAAAAGTAAGCTCCTACAGAATAAAAACATGTGGGGGCTTTAAGAATTTCATCATTCGCTGTTTTCTGAGCCAACTGAGAATGAGTTTGCCCATATGTGTATTAACACACCTCAGCGCTGCTCTGCCTAATGGGTTTTTACTGCCTTTGGGCTTTGAAAAGCAGCAGTTTATGTACAAATATCTCTACCCATTATGAATTTACAAGTGGCATTTTTTGTGCCTAAGAGAATGCCTAATACATGGTCAGCACTGAAGAAATATTTACTAAGTTGAGTGGACATAAAGTTAATTTATGATCATCAGTTTATTTTTGACTGATAAGAATAAAAAAATAGTTTTGTTTGAATTGGAGATGTAAATTTTTCTTCAGACAACAGAATCCTAGTCAAACTAGACAGAAGACACACTTCTTAATGACCTGCATTTGCAATCTGCTTTTAGTGACAGCTTTGTCTCAGATGCGCCTGAGGTCTTCATCATTCACTGATGTCCCAGCCTTCCCCCCCTCTGGCCCAGGTAATGATGAACTCATAGAACCTCAACCCTGACACTTTGATGTCTCAAAATCATTCCTATCAATGATGTGTTTTCTTTCTCAGACGATGTAATAGTTTGAGCAACAAATCAGAGAGAAGTCTGAAGAACACTAACTCCACCAGTCCAGGCAGTCAGTGTGTCCTTCATTTTTGGCAAAACTTTCAAGCTTGGAATGTTTTTAGGTCTTTGTATATGAAATAAACAGATGCCCAAATTTAAATTAGAATTTTGACCTGCACTGGATACGCAGTCAGCTGGGAATTTAGTTTGCCTTGTTTCTGTACTAAGGGATGTCTGGAGTTCTCTTCATAATTGGTCTTACAGCCTTTAAGTAATAAGCAGCACTTTATGGGAGGTAGATTTACAAAGTAAAAATAGCTTATTTGTTTCATTCAGTATTGTCTACAGATATAGCTTGCATAGTATTCAGAACATAACCATGCTTTCAAGTAATATTCTGATATTTACAATATGATTCTGTTAGAGATTTCACTAACTAAAATAATGCTTTGCCAAGTAACATGACTTTGTGATGAAATGTTTATCACAACAAAATGGTTGACACTACCTTCACATTAAACAATGACTTATATTCCTGACTATTTTTATTTGTACTGAACAATCAACTGCATTTTCTAGTTTTATCAATATGAAATTCTGTTATCTATCTATCATCTATCTATTTATCCTTTTTATTTCTTTTTGATTGTCCTCTACCCCAAACCAACCAATAACATTTGTAACAATAATTATAATCACAACTGAGCAACAGTGTATCAGACACTTTTGGTCACAAAAGAGACAGTAGATCCTCTGAACTCACATGGCAAGCTGTACAAGAAAAATGGGGAGGTGGCCAATCCCAGAGGCAAAGCATTCTGCTTCATTATGTTTTTGTGTAAAGCAAAGGGACAGCTTTATTTTTATCTACATAACTACTTATTTAAAAAAAATCAGATACACAAAAGATGAACAAGTCGGAGGACATTAATCAGTAAGCAGCATTTCTACTTTATGCTATGCAGAATCATAAATGGTGCTGGAAATGAGAAAAAAAGAACAACGTATGTGTCTATTTGTTGTTATGTTTCAAGAAATAATGATAATAAAGACTAGCAAGTCCAGCTTGGTTAGAGCAGCAGCAATCCCTTCACAACACCCATGGGATGATACGCTGAAGAGCACCTTAAAGACGTGTTTCTATTGGCTTGTCGTCTCCATTAGTCAGATGCTGGCCACTGCCATACCAAGGCAGTGCACTCCCTTTGAAAAGGAGAGAAACCCTTTGCTTATAGCCACCATCAATAGTACCCAGCAATACATCTAGAGGAAAACAATCTGGCATCATTGTTGTCAAAGCTTGGTCTGTTACTGTGACAAAACACTGAGAAGCAGCAGCATAGGAGAGAGGAGGGTTTGTTCACAGCTTATACTCTGTCACAAAGGAAAGTTAGGGCAGGAACTCAAGCAGGAGCATGGAGGCAGGAAACTCAGACCATAGAGGAAGGCTGCTCCCTGGTTTACTCTCTTTAGCATGCTCTGCTTGCTTCTTCAACAGCCCAGGACACTTGCCCAGGGGTGGCACTGCCCATAGTGTGCTGGACCCTCCTACATCAGCCACTAGTCAAATAAATGTCCCCACAGACTTGCCTAAAGCTAAGTTATACAGATATTCTTTAATTGATATTCACTCTTCCAGTGTGGCTGTTGCTTGTGTCAAGTTGACAAAAATAAATAGATAAGTAAACAGTTGCCATCTTTAATTTTCGCTTAAGTATCACTAAAAGGGGAAAGACTTTGTTGCGAGTGTTAGAGCAGTCCATGAGAGTTATATAAAAGCAAGCACACAGGATTCATTATCACTTCAGTGTTTGTGATTTGCAAAATTTCTTATGGCACTACTCTACTTAATACCTCTTCTATAAAATTACCTCTTCTATAAAAGATCTGATTTAGAGTTTTGAGAACTGAGAAGTAGGTAGCAAAACTCACCTGGCAATCCCATTTTTAACAGGACCAACCCTCCCATGAACACTGCTTTCTAGTGGCATTAATGCCAATAGCGACATCTACTGGTCATCTCAGAACAGGCCTTTTCTACAAAAAAATGTAAAATTTCATGCGGACTTTAAAGGGTTTTGTTTTAATGTTTTTTTTTTTTTTTTTTTTTTTCCCTTATAGTGAGGAAAAACAATGTTTTTATGACATCAAGTCTGGTGCAAAGGAATATTGACATAAACAGTGTAGAGCAAGGTATGACTCCAGTTTCAAGAACCCCAGACTTCCTATCTATCTATCTATCTATCTATCTATCTATCTATCTATCTATCTATCTATCTGCCTCAAGGGAAATTGTGTTAGAATTTAGAAGAAAAACACTGGGCAAGCAAGCTATGGAACCCCAGTAGCTGCCTGACGAATAGAAGGGATAAAAGCCATGCCACTGAGGTTGTCACAGCCATGCCACTGAGGTTGGCAGGGAGGTCAGACACGTGGTGGATTTGAGGCCTCAGGTAAGGAGGGGATTTTGTCAAAAGAGTAAGGAAGCTCAGAATATCGGGGTGAGCCTGAAGTGTCAAGGGAGGCATGCTTAGGAAAGAGATGGAAAGAAATAAATGAAACATTAAGCTTTTCTAAAAATTTAGAAAACTAGGCAGACTCAGAACTCTATTGACTGCAGTTTATAAGCTGCATTTACATGCATATTTTAATCTCTTTCTCACCCCACCTCTGTGGTGTGTGTGTGTGTGTGTGTGTGTGTGTGTGTGTGTGTGTGTGTGTGTTGGGAGAAGGACAGAGTGACAAAACATGGGGGATAAAAATATTTGATTAGACAAGTCATGTAATAAAAAAAAGCATGTATTTGGCTAAAGCTAGGTAAGAACTGAGTGGCAGCCAATTCATGGGCTATGTTGACTTCGATTAATCTCTAAAAACTTAATTGTAGTATTTTTTAAAGAACACTATAGTGAAAACAGGGACAAAGGAGTATTTCACCAAAATATTGATCTTTTCATTCTTCTTCTTCAAGGTCCTGTGAGACCTTCCGAGCACGTTCTAAGGCCTGCTATTCTGCAGCTCCCTCAAGCTCAAAGCTGCGAAAACATAAGCAAAACATCTGGGCATGGTGCATCAAAATCCTACAAAATTAAGGGAAATACTAAACACAAGGTAAGTAAATCCCCTTTGGTAGGAGGGACATTGAAATGCTCTTGATGCTCTTATTAAATTGGAGCATGTTCCCTGAACCTGATTGTGTGGTTGCTGTCACTCCATGTGGGAGAGCTGTGCAGCAGGCAGTGGGACTCATGAGCATAGTAGGAATACCAGAATGCTGACGGTATGAAACTTGGGGAAGCAATGAGATGGGCAGGGGCCAGAACCTATAGTGAAATAACAGACAAGGGTTCTGCATCCCCGCTGGCCAACATCACAGAGAGGCTTCACCAGTCTAGGTCACACCAGACATCTTCACAGATTACAGCAGCAAAGATTCCATGCACAGAATCACTGTGGGTAGGGTAGGGAACTTGGCAGCTTCCAGGGACAGATATGAATTCTCCATCCTAAACATGGAAGGGCCTGAATCACTCACTGCAAAGCTTTCCTAAGGCAATCCTCTTTTGCTGGGACATACAGACGTGGGCTTCTGGAATGTTCTATGGCTGCATCTGTAGCTTTGACACTCTGAAGGGATGGGACAGGACTTAGGCGGCTGGAATTTGTGCTATTCCAGCAGCCATTTGTTTTTCAAACTCCTGAGGCTGTTCAACTGGTTTGCTTTGGTTTTCGTTGAACACAATGACAGTAACACATGGAAGTGAAATATATCAGTCATTTTGATTAAGGGAAAAAAAAATCAGAATGGAAGCAGTCTTGACCTGCAACTGCCTGTGCTTATCCAAACCAGGCACTTTCCTTATCAAGGAAAAAAAGGAAGGTGAACTTGGTCATCATTTTCCAAAATTGTTATGCTTCCAAACAATCTTCTTCATTAGATATGATTTTGTGAGGCACATTGTGAATTTTAATAATTTAATCAATTATGTATAGCAGATGATAAGTGGTTTATAAGGTACAACATATTCTTAATTTCAGATTGATATATTACTAAAGTTTTAATTAAATCCAATCTAGTAATTACTTTTATTCATTTAGGAGTGTTGGGGAGAATGGTGTTAAATCAGTCTTAAATTTTGTAAGGAAAAATTGGCTAACTTTTGAACTGCTACATACCAATTTGGGTACCATAGACCAAATTTTTGTTGTTGTTATGACATCCAAAGTGTAGTGATATTTCTTTCTTGTCATGACTTTTACAAATCTCATCCATGTCTGTGTATACATGTATGTGCATTTGGAAGCCAGAGAACAACCTTGGGTGGCATTTCCCAAGAGCCCTCCACTTTGCTTTTTGACACAGGGTTTCTTATTGGCCCAGAGTCTGACAATTAGATTACCTGGCCAGCAATCCCAGAGATCTGCCTTTATGTCTGCCCAGGCATGGAATTATAATGTTTGCTGCTGCACCTGGCTTTCTGGGGATTGAAAGCAGATACTGGTGACTGTTCATTTATTTTTTTTTTTAAATTCTGCTTAAATTACAGAACAGAAAATTTCCAGCTCTAGTTTGAAAATATTTCTTCATAATTTAAAGGTCTAATAAATAGAGATTACTCCAAGTTATAGAGAAGCCCAACTAGGTATGTTTTTTGTTCCATGATGGTCTTTGAAGTTCCAGAGATAACATAATCTATGAAATTTTATGGCTCAAGTTTGACTAAATGAATGTAATCTGTATATAATGTGAAAAGTATCCTTAAGTGAATTATATAGAATTATCATCTTATTGTCTTTAGTGACCAGTATCAGAGTAGATAAATTAGTGTCCACCCAGCTATTTTTTAGTCAAAAATATTCACTGTCACTCATAATTTAAAAACTACAAACCAAATGGGCTACCATTTTAATATACACATTTAATAAAAATATAAAGTTTAATGAAAATATAAACTTTGGTAACACTGTTTCTTATAGTCTTTAAAAAAGTTTCCTTTTGGTATTAGATAACCACATGGTGTGCTTTTCCCCATGGAAGACTTTTTCTTCAGCTCTCAGCAGTCCTTAGTTGCCTGTAGCTCTCTGTGTAGGATTGAGGTCTCATGGGCTTGCCCGCCTACTTTCCCTGACCTAGTCCACTTTAGTATGTCTACTGTTGTCGTTGTTCAGCTCATGTTTAGGCAGTTATGTTGGTGAGACTTTACAGGATGATCAGCCCTGAAAAATACATGCAAGCAACAGTATCCTGACTACATGGGTTATATTTAGGAACTTCTCTCTCCATAGACGTAGATATAGGTACACATATGTATGTAACAACAATTAGTGTAAATAGAGGCTATGAATTTGAAAAAGATCAGACAGGAGTATATGGGAGGATCTGGAGGGAGGGAAGAAAAGATAATTATTATCTCAAAAGGTAAAAGAAATAGTTTTAATTTTCCTTCTACAAGGTTGAGGATTTGGCTCAGTGGTAAAGCACTTGCCTAGCAAGCACAAGGCCCTAGGTTTAGTCATTGGCTCCTAAAAAGCAAATTCCTCTTACTTAGCATATAAGACAATGGGACTCATTATGGCATTTCATGGAGATATAGCATCTTACTTTGCCCTTCATCCCTCCTCCTCTCCAGCTGGTCCCCTTCCTTTTCCCAAACAGTGTTCCCTCTGTTTCCATGAGTCACATATTTCAAAATAAAACTACATTCTGCAGACAATGTCCACTTATTGTGTATAAATTAAACCAAATATACCTAAAACTATTTTAGGCAACAAAGACTTAAAGCAATCATTTAGACTGAAGGATCAATTATTTGAGTGATAAGGTCATCAGCATATACTTTGACCTTAGATAACCGAGGCACATGATCTCTTGTAGATATTTGTCAGCTTTTAAGTTACTGTTATAAGAGGGAAATATTATTACTTTTATTGATTAGTATAAAAATTCAAGAGGAAACAGAACACATTTATTTGCAAATCCCTACAGTGGGAAAAGATGAGTTCTGGTCCCACCGCTGGCTCCACTCCATCTCTGAAGTCCCTCACGCCCACATTTATGGCATCAGTATAGGCCACACACATTATATACATAATGGTTTTGAGCCCACAGGAAATATCAGGATGAGGAGATGAGCTGAGTTTCCTCTTACACCAGGTGGTTGCGATAGCAAAGCTCTTAGGTACTCCCAGACTGAACAGCCCTGAAAAGTCCCCACTGCCGAGAAGTAATCACTAAGCCCAAATGGATAAAACGGGTAAAAGTATCAAAGGCAACAAGTTTGTGAGGTTATAATGAAATACGAAGTCTCTGGAATAAAGACTTGTACTTAATGTCACTTCCACTTGGTTGAGTGATATGGGTGAGTTCTCCAAGTTCTTTCTGTAAACTGTGGGCAGAAGAAGAAAATGCACTGAATTGTGAGGATCACGTGAGATGAGGCACATAAAGGGCTAAGGGGTCTGTTTTCTGAACACAGGATAACACGTGTGACTATAACTGGTTTCTGTCTCATAACACAGGATAACACGTGAGACTATAACTGGTTTCTGTCTGAGATTTCTAGACAGGGCAAATCGAATGAATTTTCAGATGGATTTCTTTTCTCCCTTTTTCAGATATCTGAGTTGAACTCTAGTTTGAGAAGTGAAAATTTACCACGTGCCAGATGTTCAGTCCAGCTGTCTGCTGACACCTCAGAGGCAACATCAGGGTAAAATATAAAGCTCATGTGTTGCTTCTCCGAAGTGTTTGGGACTAGAAGTGTTTCAGATTTCTGTAATATTTGAATGTACATAATGTAATTACTATCTTTGGGAGGGAACCAAAATCTAAACAGAAAATGCATGTACACAGATTCACCTTGATTATATAACCTGAATATAATTATATACAATATTTTTAATGATTTTGACTCATCATACGAAGCCAGGAATTTTCTAGTCATGATCTCATGCCAAGTGGTCCAAATGTTTCAGATTTGGGAAAATCTTATACCTCAGATTTCCTAATCAGGGATGCTTAAGCAAATGGTTAATCAAAATGGAATCAAAATGGTTCCTTTTCATTTTTGTTTTCTTTGACCATTTTAACTATTCATAAGCTGTAATTTTCCTGACACTGTCTGAATAAATTGACAAGATTCTCATTTGAGAGCACATTTTATAAGAATGGTAGTTTAGAAAGCTCTTGAGAATACATCAGCTATTTCACTACCATCATAATAATACTGGATTGCCTTCATTGCCTCATGGACTTGGCTCAGAATATTTAAAAAAAGATATGACTAAACTTCACATACAAGTTATCTTGCTATTAATCTTCCTTCCTCTTTTTTGAAGTGTTCTCTGCCCAACTTTCTAATCCATTTTGATGCTATCTATGATTAATTAGCATTCATTGTTTAGGTAAAAGGAAAGCAGTATACACCTGTTAAGTGAAAAGCTCATGTTACTTAGTATTACTGGTGATGATTCCCTGAGAGAATACTGGAAATGGCTGTGGACAAACACTGGCTCACATGAACAGGTTCCATCCAGGTTGAGTGCTATGGTGTCATGGGAATATGCTGAGAACTGTTAAAACATCTGCCTACAAATGGCTGCATGTTTCATTTTCTCATCTTGTGAAACAATTTTAATATAAAAGTCAATTTCTTGGAGTACAAGAATTAAAACAACGCACATTCAAGTATAATTGATAAGACACCCTGAAGATCTTTGGAGGGCTAAAAGCATCATTGGCCACTTAGGACAAAGAAAATGGTTAGGGATTGCTGGAATGCAGCAAGATAAGGGCTGGGCAGCCCTCCAGCTGGTCATGCAACCCATATAATGAATGGAATGAGGGGTCATCCATGCAGGTCAACTCCAAGGTCATAACAGTAAGCAACAGTATTCTGAACATTATCCCCGGAAGTCTTTAGCTCATGTTTTTCCTTCACTTCTCATTCATTTCATGTGAACCAAGAGGAATGATTATGCTTGAACCACTGGTTTATTTTGCCTGCTAAGGCTTAAAGTGGCTTCATCCATGAATTTAAAATACCAAATACTTATTTCTGTTTCATAGATGCCAACCAAAGGAAGATAAGTGTTCTTTTAAAAGCTGCAGTTCTGACTTCGTTTTTGGAGAAAACATGGTAGAAAGAGTTTTGGTAAGATTGTGGTAAATTATCTTAGAGAAACCGTCGTTTCACATTTCTCAAGGCAAATTAATAGTGTTCAGTTCCAGAGTGCTTCATAGTTCTGGGTTAAAAGTCACAATTTCTTTCTTTAACTACAAAAGGCTTCTGGGAAGCAGGTCCCAGCAGTTTGAATAACAGGTGTGAAGCCTATATTGCAGTGGTCCTCAAGCTTCCTAGCGCTACAACTATTTAATACAGTTCCTCATGTTGTGGTGATCCCCAACCATACAATTATTTTGTTACTACTTCATAAATGTAATTTTGTTACTGGTATGAATTGTAATGTAAATATCTGTGTTTTCAAATGGTCTTAGGACTTCCCCTGTCTGTGACAGGGTCATTTGATCCCCAAGGGGTCACAACCTACAGGTTGAGAACCAATGTTGTAGAGGAAGGAAACTGTACATTCATTTCATTATTACTGACCTTAAGTGTCAAACAGTTCTTTGCCTGTGTTAAGCCCAAAGTACCCACTGAACTCTAAGAAATATGCAGCAACTAGATAAGCTCAATTATTAATATTTTAATATAGTGTTCTCAGCAGGGGTTTAATTTCACACAGTTAACAGTATGAGTTTTAGTCATTTTCACACACACACACACACACACACACACACACACACTTTCATCTTCCTCCCTTCCTCTTCCTTTTCTGGGTGGTCTAATGAATTTAGAGTTTCTTGCCTGAGCATGAGTGGGAGGTTATTTACTGGCTCAAAGGCAACTTCTTAGTGGCTACACCACTAAATGAGTGTTACCCTGTTAAAATAATAAACCAATATGCTCTTATTAACTACGGCCAAACCTTTACTTTGAAAAGAATTATAACCATTTGCATTTTAAGAGAAAAAAATCAGGTGTTTTACTTGTCTAGGAGAACTGCTAACTGCTATTGCTACCATTACTTCCACTGCTGCTGCGCCTTGCCCAGAGCTTTGATTTCGAAGACAGCGTTACCATAAGGCAAGGAACAGTCTAGTGAAAGCCATGACATGCCTGGACATTGTCGTGACTCACATGGTTTTTCAGCCCTTACTTTAACTGGGCTGAGCTTGGCCTAAGGGGGTTGTCTTAGGGTTACCTGTTACATGAGGCAAGTTAATGAAGTGTCAGAGATTTTCATGATCAAAGAGCACGATAAACGTGCATCACAACATCACAATGAGGGCTGGGGAGATGACTCAGTGGGTATGAGCACTTGATATGCAAGTCCCAGAATCTGAGTTTGAATCTGTAGCTCCCATGTAAGAACCAGCTTAGTTAAAATGGCAAGCTTCTGGGTTAGTAAGTGATCCTGTTTCAAGGAAATAAGGTAGGTTAGTGAGTGATCCTGTTTCAAGGGAATAAGGCAGAGAGCCATCAAGCAGTACACCAGTGATGTCCTCCTCTGGCCTCTGTATGTCTGCACCCCAAGGATGGATGCACCTGCACACTCACATGTGCACAAATACCATCCTTGCTAAATACACATATACACACACAGAAAGAGAGAGAGAGAATGCCACAATGAAATGCATTATTTTGTACCAATAGCATATGCTAATAAAATGAAAAGAAAAATTCTCAAAACTAGTTGATTTCAATATTTTTTGAGTTCTCCTGAGTCAGCTGTGTGTGGATCTTGCTCGTTGCAGACATTCCTCAGGGCTGTCCTTAATTCTAAGGGTAGTTCTCGCTTTTCAGCTGAAAGCATGCTTCTGTCACTGCCAAGAAGGCCAGGCCCACCTGGAGGTGCTGCTCAATGCCTTGCATCCTAGCACTGGGGGCTGAGGTAGAAGGACACAGTTTGAGGTCAGCCTGCACTAAACAGTGAGACCACGTCAAACATACAGTCAAAAAACAAAACAAGAAAACATGATGGGCAACTGGCAACTCCACCAATATCGGAGATACTGATCCACATCTTTGGATCAGAGATAGAATGCACCAAGCAAGCACAGGGGAAAGCCTGTGCAATATATTTAAACAAATCTCTCTCTCTCTCTCTCTCTCTCTCTCTCTCTCTCTCTCTCTCTTCCCTCCTTTTCTTTCCTTTCCTAAGTTACCTCAACAATCACTTTACTAACCATTTACCGCATCCCTATGGTACACAAGATACTGAGTTCATAGACTGATGACCTTGTTACTTAAAACTTATGTACTTTATCCTTCAGTTTAAATGATAGTTTTTCACTCTTAGTTGCTTAAAATAATTTTAGGCATATTTGGTTTGACTTATACACAGTAAGTGAACATTGGAGAATGTAGACTTTTTAAAATATGGCATGAAAGCAGAGGGAGCACTACTTGGGAGAAGGAACTAGCAGGAGAAGAGGAGGAGCAAAGGACAATGAACGTATGAAAATGTCATAATGAGTCTTGCTAAGTAAGAGAAAAGATTTTTTTCTCGTGTGTGTGTGTGTGTGTGTGTGTGTGTGTGTGTGTTTCAGGTTTATGCATGTGTGTGCATATCCCATGCACATACATATGGAGGCCATGGGGCCTTTCTTATTATTCTCCTATTCATTCCTGTAAGACTGGGTCTCTCCCATCCTGCAGCTTCCTGGACTGCAGAGCTCTTGTCTCTACTCCTCTCTGCCCCCTGGTGCTGGGGTTATATGCCCATGTGGACACGCTTAGCATTATGAGTGAGCTGGGCATTTGTTCTCAAGCTTTTACAATAACCACCATTACCTCCCCATCTGGGGAGCTTTTAAATGAGATCTTACAGCTGGATCTCACCCAGACTCATTATATTAGAAATGCTGGGGGGTGATGTCAAGGGTCAAGTCATTTTAATGTATAGCTAGGTTTGAGATTCACCTAAGTAGTTATGCAAAGTTAAAATAGACAGCACTCTAGAGAGGTTTGAGATGTAGTAAGAGAGACAGAGAGAAACCTATGAGAACAAAGCACAGCTGGGACCACAGAGGTTTGGTGTGAGAGAGTACCGAGGTTTGGTGTGAGAGCACAGATGTTTGGTGTGGTGTTTTTGGATGTGGCTTATGAAAGGACTGGGGCTTCCCATTTCTCTCAGAGAGGATGTTCCAAGGATACTGGAACAACCCAGATAGTTTGTGTTTTTCTTCTAATTAATCTTGTAACCCGATGGCCTTGTGATATGGGGGTCAAAGTGCATTCCTGACTTGAGCTTTTAGAATGAATCACTAATCTTTCTGAGCTGGTATTTCTGTTCTTTAAAACTGAAAATGATTATACCCCATCTTTACCCAGTTTCAGGGACTATACTGATTTCCCATTAAATAACAAGGAAGAATCTTGAGTTCACAAAGGCAAGATTTGAATGTGATGTTAAGCAGCATTTCACTGTTCTGCAAGGGGTACATACACAGCTGGGGACAGCACAGTTGTAATCTTTTCCATACAGGCTTTTGTGACGTTAGATATGCAGAACCTTGAAAATGACTGTTGGTGTCTAGAGAAGTGGCTCAATGGTAAAGGCAATTGCCATCAGGCCTGGTGACCTGAGTTTGATTTGAGGGACCCACAAGGTGGAAGAAGAAAATCGATTCTAGCAAGTTGTTCTCTAAGTTTTACACACGTGTCTTGACATGTACATAAACACACCACACACACACACACACACACACACACACACACACACACACCATGCACAATGACTGCTGGCTATCACTGATGTTGGAGGAAACATTAGGACCCTTCTGTTCTCTGGGATATCTAGTGGACTTTTCTTTCTGGGGAAGAACACAGCAATAGAATCTCTGAGACCACTGGAAAACACAGAAAATGAAGAGAGTGGCACTTCGGTCAGCTTGTTGGATAGAGTGACAGTCACCTGCTTCCCTGCTTCTTGAGCTTTCCTTATTTCCCTAAAACCAGACCCATTTGGATGGGCTGAGATAAGTGTGTTGTGTTTTCTGAGGTTAGAACCAATGCTTCCTAACCATAGCCAGGTCTCTGTTGAGTTGGGTGGGAGCTGGAAACTAAAACACAGGAGCTGCATTGAAAAAAAAAATCTTTTGGTTTTTTGGCTTACTGCAAATATCTAGGTATAAGATTAAACAATGCACATTTCTCCCTACTTAGGGCACTCAAAAGCTCACCCAGCCTCCTCTTCAAAACCATTCATATGCCAAGGAAAAAACATTCAGATCTGTTCTGAAATTCCCTGACACTGCTTCAGAACCAAGTAAGAATCGTTTGGTTTGTAAAACATTTAACTTCACAGTGCATGGGTGTTTTTAGTGCATGTATGTTGGTGGACCACTGTAGTGAGATATCCACCCCGCCCACACCTGTTGCGCTGACCCATCGGGGTGTGGGCACAGGAGCGGACTTGACCTGTGGGAGGCTAGGTCTCTTTTGGACCCAGGACCCCAGCTCTCAGGTCACCGAGAGTAGCCTGGGTGGGGATCCTCGGAGCAGGAACAGGAACTCGAGGGTCATTGGTTTCTCGTGTGACTTCTCCCACAATAAAATACACAATCCATATTTTATCCTAGTCCCGTGTATCTTTATCTGTGCATCATTAGAGCACATGTGTGACTGGTTCCCAAAAAAGATCAGAAGAGGGCATCATACCCTCTGGGAATGGAGTTATAGCAACCATCATGGAGGTGCTGGAAACAGAAGCTGGGTCCTCTGGATTAACTACAAAGCTATCTCTCCAGCTCTTTGTCTTCTATTTTTAAGGACATTTACTTAACACACTGACAGTTTTTAAAGCCTATAATCCAGTATTTAAAATTGTTTTGGCAAGGATTAAAACATGTAATTATATTATAATACAAACTTTGAAATTGCTGATTTTAATACTATGGGAGAGCAAATTAGGTGGTTTTAACCAACTCAAACAGTTTGACCTTTAAACTACAAGGCAAGAAGATTCATTAATGTGGTTAACACACACCCTTCATGGCAGAGGAAACAGGGTCTTACATATTTTTCCTCCTGCTTTCTTTTTTGGTACAGGCTCTATTAAAAACATATCCCTAATTGAATCAGCTGCTGCTTTTTCTTCCAAACCATCACAAAAATGCTTGCTTGAGAAAATTGATGTTGTAACAGGAGAAGAAATGGAACATAATGTGTTAAAGGTTTGTAAGCTATGTATTACTTTTTCTAGTACTATATAGTATTATATAACATCATTAGAGATATCTTCAAAAATACCTAGAAAAAGAGTTTCATGAAGACTAAGTTGCTTGAATAAAAACTGTTTGAGGTTTGTAAAACCTCATTGTTAAACTAAGATAGTATTATATTCTTAAGTTCTCTTTCTCTGCCTCTCTCTCTCTCTCTGTCTCTCTCTCTCTCTCTGTGTGTGTGTGTGTGTGTGTGTGTGTAGGTTTACAATCACCCATTCTAGTTGTCAAGAAAGAAAGGCAATGAACCTAAGTTTAAGATCCTCTTGCTTTAGCTTCCAGAGTTCTGGGGCTTGTATACATGGTGGGCTAGGATCTTGTCTTCAATAACTTCAGACTTTCACTTTATACTTCTTATGTCTGTTCTCACAGCCAGTGCCATTACTATGATCAACTCTACTAATACTGAAAAGTGACTTGATTTCAGTTTAAGATAAAAAGCTATTTTTGTTATTGTTGTTGTTCATTAAAGTGTAGACATTTGCATAAATAAAGAACTTCACAGGTGTACACTGTACCTGATGGGGGCTGAGTGGTGTTAGGGTACAGACTTCACTGTTTGTTTAAAGGCACCAATCTCTTTACCATTCTCCATCTTCTCCACTCCCCCTTATTTCCACAATGACCTAAGGATACTTTAATTCTAAATAAGTGCATCTCATGGTATAATTTTGGTCCAAGTGAAGTCAATCCCTGGTGCACTCCATTTACATTTGAATGTACAGATGCCTTCTTTTGCATGAGAATATTTGATAAATGTTAACCATTTATCCGTGTCCATGTGTTTGAAGTACTTTAACATGCAAATCCATGATTCATTTCTTTAAAATAACATTATATGGCCAAAATAATATCAACTTTAATGCAGAATTTGGCATATTGAGGCATACTAAGTAAGAAAGCAGCAAGTATACATGGTATCCTCTAGTTTTAGAAAAAGATATGCATTGGTGTGTATCCCTACAACTATCTCCGAAAGGGTAAATAAGATACAGTAGTGACCACCCATTACAGAAGTGGAAGCCAGAGAACAAGGCTTGGGCCCTTTTCATTTCACTCTATGCTGTTATTATTCTATTTTTGCAGTTTGAGATGGACAGAGATTGCATGTTCTTAAAAGTTAACTAAATCTCAAATTCTGGTTTATTAATCATCAACAAAGATTAATTTAGTACAAGACAAACCGGATACAATAGTGTTAGGGCACAAGAAAGGATTTAATATGAAAAAAATTAATGTATCTGACATTTTAAACAATTGTCATTTAGATCAACTGCAAGATCTTTGTGTTCACCAAAATAACCCAATCCTGGACTGAAAGAGGCAGAGGACTTTTGAGACTGAATGACATAGCAAGCAGTGACTGTGGATCACTACAGTCAAGACTAAGTAAGGAGCAATGTTGTAAAGTAAATGGGTAGAATGTCTCATGAAGATGCATGCTGCTTCTGTAGGGTGCAGTGTAAAACACACCAATAAATATGATGATGGAAACAACTTTTCTAACGTACTCTAGGAGCTTCCAATTTCAAGCTCACTATTAAACATCATGGGTTCCATTTTTCCTCCACCACTGACTAGCAACCCTAAAGCTTGACCACACGAATTCAAATATGAAGAATTGTAGTCTGTGGCCTTTTCAGTGTTTGTGGGAGTTTTCAGCAAGATACAATAAATCAAATCTTTTTGAGCAGCTGTGAAAATCTGATGAGATGCTGTGTGGAAAGCACCTGTATCAAAGCTAAACACATACCCAAATAATCATATCATTAGTATCAGAAGGGGTATACAGCAAATGGCCTTGCAACATTTAAAGTTTGGTGTAAAGAAATAGCTGACATATCGTGCATCCTTGGTATCTAAACACAGTCTGTGGCTGGGATGTAGGGTCAGTTTCTGAGGAAACAAGTGTGTAATTATTGTGTTCTGCAGCAAATGGATGATCAGAAGCTGGGGAAAGATTTTAGATGTTTGGCACCTAAAAGCGCTCACTGGGCTTTGTTCAGAGGCCCAAACTGCACATGAGTGAGGGCAGAGGGCTAGTGCAGTGAATTCTCTTGCCAGACAGCTCTGAGAAGTCAACGTTTTGAAGGAAATTTGCACACAGAATCTGCATCTAGGCATATGAGGATCTGTGAGTTTCAAATGTCAAGCTCAAAAAGTTGAAAGGAATGGAATTCAGATCAAAAGAACAAGAGTGGGGGTTTCAACTTAGTAATGGACAAACGGGTGGCTGAATAATCCAATCAAGGCAGTTCTGGCTGTTCTCTACTGTGATTTAATTCTACTCTTTGCCAGAAAAAAAAATTAAAACCAAAACTTCCAAACACCTTTATTGTTGTTGTTATGTGGGCAATATGGGCTCACTGCAGAAAGTAGAAAATAATTCAATCAAATGCTAGATAAAACAGTATCAGTTCTACCTTCTAGTTAGTTTGTGAACACTGCATTCTGTGGATTTCATTCTCGTTACACTTCTATGTAGACTGTACAGTTTGTGGGTCATGGTGCTATACTGATCTGACATTTTTTACATAGTATTCCATGATCGGCTTCCCGTGTGAGTATCTTTCTTCAGTATTGTTAATGGTCTCTTAGTGTTCTCTCTAATGGCTGAGCTGTACTTAATCTAACTCAACACTTTGAACACTTAAACATTATGCTTTCTTTTTTTCCATTTTAACATTTCTTAGATGATCTACATGTCACCAGGTCTTTAAAGAGGACCTTTACATCTAGTCATTTGAAAATTCTAGAAAAAACATAATTCTAACACTGAAACTAAAGTAAATAAATAAACTTCCTCTAAGGTAAGGGCCAATTTAAAAATCAAGTTATAAAATTTAGCTAAATTACCACTCAATAGTGAAAACACATCTGGAAAGACAACTACAGGGTTCACTTTTCCTTTGAAGGTTTTTTTCCCCAGGTTAAGGTATTATGAACTCTAATCTGAGCTGTTCATCTTTTCATCGCAGTCATGCGTAACCAAGGTAGTCTGAGGCTGATCCTCAACAGCAGGCTCTGGACTCAGATGAAGATTCAGAGAGCAAATCACAAAAATCTGAGGATAACTGCAACTGATTTAGAAGATGATGGTATAAAAGTGTTTTTAATTCAGGTAAGATGTCAGCTTGAGGGGGTTACATTGCTAATACAATAGTTAGCTTTTTGCAGTTCCTAATTAATTTTTGACTGTCAAATGGACCCAACATCAGTATGAATCAGCCGGTCCTCATTCTAAGGCATTTGGATGTTATTACCTATCATTTCCATTACTATTGAAATTATGTCAATAAGCTTATTCCAGTGATGGCATTTTCTCAAAGTGGCTCCTAGGAGGTCAGCAGAATCCTAACCTGCTACTTATGCAGTTACCCAGATAGAGGAGGCTTTGTGATCACTGCAAAAGGAGCCAGTGTGGGATGGAAAAGCACAGGGCCAGCATGCCACAACCAGTCCAACAGCCAATTCCAATTCCGAACATGAGAAAATCTCCAGGGCAACGGCTGGAAGCACAGTTGAACTGTCCCCTGCAGCAGGAATGACTGACCTCAAATACAAGACACAGACACAAGAGCGCTGCCAAGAACAAAGCCTTCTTCCTGCCACCCCCAGCAACTGGGTTTTCCCCATAGTCTGAGACCTGGAAGACTTCAAAAATATGACTACCTAAATGATAATGGTTTAGGTAATAATATAAGTGGATAGACTTCCACTAAATAATGAAGAAAAAAATTAGTGTGTTACAAAACCCCAAAATTTTATTAACTTAAAGTCTGGTTTAAGTGACCTTTTGGGTATTAAAATGTTAGGGAAAGTTCAGTAAGCAGTAATATCAAAAACAAAAACAAACAAAAAATTAAGAGTAAGATGATAACTCCTCTCTACCATTTAAGGACATAATATTCCATCGCACTGGTTTTCAGTGGGTAAAGCATTGTGGCAGCAACTCTGGTTGACTCTACTCATCATCACCAGCACTTGATCCAAGCTGGCTTTTAAACTGTGGCACATTCACAAAAGACAAACAAATGGAATACTATAAAGACCATTTGTTGTGATCACCATTAACATATTATTCTACACTAATAGGTTAAGCATCCCGATTTAAAATTTTGAAATCCAAAATGCTCCCAACTTCAACATTGTTTTGAGCTTCAGCATGGAAAATTCCACACCCGACCTTGTATGATGGGTCCTGGCCAACACAAAGATTGTAGAAATTCCCCATAGGCTATGTATGCAAGGTCTATATAGATGAACCACAAATAAGTTCTGTGGTTAGATTTGGGCTCCATCTACAAAATATTTTATTATATATGAGTAAATATTACAAAATCAGGAAAAACTAAATGTGTATATACCCATACAAATGTGCAACACTGTACGATTATATGATCTCAAAGTACTTAACTTTCACTCAACTACTGACTTACTCACATGTAAAATGAAGGCAACACAATATACTTTATAAAACTGTGAGATGAAATAGCTAAACTGGTGACACAACATTAATTTTTTAATGTAAATGAGTTCATTAGTGTTGTAACTTAGACGTACCTGTCCTTTTCTCTTTCCCAGACACATTCTTCTCTTTTGTAAAGGGAAGAGGGATGAGTATATCTGTACTATTTGTTTTTGCTAATGTGAATGGAATAAAAACACAGCAGCTAATGCTACACCAGTATTAAGCTGCTGCTGCCATCATTTTTATATTAATGACAACCAAAAATCAGCTTGGAGAAGTTTTGAGAAGTGTGATGTCTGACAATGTCAGCACTCCTCAGGGGGGAGCTTTGCTTCTCCATGAAGGTGTGTGGACTGGAGGGTGGGTTAGTAAAGAGATGGGGAAGGCAGAAGTACTTTTCCTCCAAGCCTACTGAGCTCTACAGCAGAAGGCAGCAGCGGGAAAACCATCTTAAAGATCTCAATTCAAACAGGTTCCACTTAAAATGTATGCTTTAAGATCTCATTACTCACTTTGGGATACAATTTGGTGTAAAAATGAATCGGCTTTACTTTGTAACATGTTGGGCTATGGACATTTATTTACCTTCCAGATTTATGTAATGCAATTCCTTCCTTTATAAACACTGAGAGATATAAAAGATGTAAACATGGCTACAGTTTTCCATTACTTATAGTCTAAACAACTTAATTTTTCTCACAAAGGCTAGTGCCAAAGACATAGGCTATCTGTATGCAGCAATACATCACCGTCTTGTTGCCCTTCGAAGCCTCAGGAAGCAGGCTGATGGCGATTCAGCAGAAAGCCAGTCAGACACAGTCCTCCAGCAGCTCAGCTCTGATGAGGATGAGGATGACTTCATACAAATCTCTAAAAACGGATCAGGTAAAATAATTGCACACTGCAATATACTGAATAGGCTCTTCCGCTACAAAAATGATTGCTTTAAGTGGGTGGTAGTTGGGGCCTGGCTGTTTGTATCCAGGAATAGGTTGGAAAAAAATCTCTGTCTTCTATCAGGGGCCTTCAAGTCCGCCTCTCTGTGACACCATAGGTCATTTGCCCATAAATTCCATGAACAACTTCATTCACAATTTATTACATTGCTGCCTCTCAAGTAACCACGACCCATGCTCATTTTCTCATATTGCAGTTTATTATTGGCTATAACCAGAGGAAATAGAAATGTATGCAGTGGGGATCCAGGTAGATCTAGTTTTAAGTCCTGAAAATTGTATTAGTTCACCTTTTGGAATTTGATTGCTTAGAGAAACAACTAAATGGTGTAAGTATTATCTGAAAGGTAGTCCTTTGAGTAGGACAAAATTTACTACTTTTTAAAAATTGGGTCAGGCCAGGCAGTGGTGGTGCACACCTTTAATACCAGCACTCAGCAGGCAGAGGCAGGCTGATCTCTCTGTAAGTTCGAGGCCAGCCTGATCTACAGAGTGAGTTCCAGGACAGGCTCCAAAGCTACAGAGAAACCCTGTCTCAAAAATAATAATAATAAAAAAATTGAGTCAGGATTCATGGATGAACTAAGGCTAAAACAGACTCAGCAGTAAAGTGATTGTTTTAGATGTCCTGATATGTGGAATTAAAAGTAACAGCCTGATGTCATTATTGGTAGGGGCAGTGCCAAAGATTTAGTAAGCACAGCTGTGATCTATGGTGGTAGCTATTCTAACAGAGTCATCCGGTCATTTTCAGGGACAGGTTCACTTACCCCAATTCTGTCTAGAAGGACTTGACAATATAAATTGCTATTGCGATGAGCATTTCCCACTTCCAATTATTTTACAATCTTAAGGCTGCTTTACTCATGCATAATTTTAAAAAAATGATCAAAGAACATATAAGACAGGATGAAACATTTAGCTTAATATTAAAATTACAATTAAAAGGAAAATTCTACCGTATGTTCAGATTAGGTTGCTTGATTCAGTGAGCCAGGGAACTACATGAGTATGATTTCCCACTTTAAACAAATCCACTGAATGAAAGGTTTTTGATTCTCCAAATTAAATGCAATAAGTAAATTATCTTTTACATTGCTATGTTTATGTTGTCCACAATAAAATGGATTCTATTAAAAAATGTCAACTTGAAATAAAGATGAAATGGCAAAATTTAATCAACGAGACACAGTCATGAAATTTTACTTTAGGAAAGGGTTGATATACAACCATCAACGGAAATAACATAAGGCAACTGTCAATCACAGGATCTTCCTTCTGCTGCTGTTTCCCCCTCACACAGCACCTTCCTCAGAAGGTACTGCAGACAATGCTAAAATGTTATGGAAGTCCTGTTTGGACTTTGTTGTCCATGAATTAAATAATGTTTTGTTTGTCAGAAAATGTCATATTTAAAATTATTAGTGACATTTTTGGTGAGACGGCTTAGAAGGGAAAGTGTGAGTCAGGTCACTCTGACAACCTGAGCCCCAGACCCCATATAAAGATAGAAACAGAGAACCAATGTCACAGGTATCCTCTGGACTCCACACACATGCCTTAGCACACACACACACACACACACACACACACACACACACACACCTTAGCACATGTGTGCTCCCCCCCCCACAGACAAACACACAGACACACAGACATACAGACACAGACACACAGACCCACACACAGACACTCACACACACACACACTTACAGACACACACAGACACAGACACATATAGACACACACAGAGACACACACACACACACACGGATGATGACAAACCCAAAAACCGGAAAAAAAAAAAAAAAAAAGAGTACACACGTGCTAAAATAAGCAACCATACTTGATATAGGGTAGGAGTGAAAATTATTAGCAATATTTTCCAACATTATCTAAACATATGTTTTATCTTATATTTCTTTATCACTAAACTACTTGTTTGTCTGCATTTGATATTGAGTCTAAATATAATATGTAATAAAATATTTTACATTTACCACAGATCCTTCAAGGTGGAACCACAGTCAGTCAGTTGTGTGTTCATAGCACTCTCTCCTGCAAACATGACATCAACAGAACTGGTCAGTCTGCTGAAATGCCAGACCATCCTAACTGAGAAGATGCTACACATACCTTGAAGAGTTTTCTTTTTAAATTAAAGAAATACAATCTTGCAATTAAAGGTTTTACATTTTATGGTTTGACTATTGTGGATAAAATTTAAGAAATGAACTGCAGAAGATAAAATTTAATCATTTTGTGGATTAATTTAGAATAGAATTTGATAACTAATTTGGACTGTCCATCATGTTGATGGATATAATAATTAAAGGCACAAATTGTTGGCTTTATAAATATCTAACTAAAGTATTTACTTTAGTCATTCATTGGCTATAGAAAAGATAGTTTACTAAATTTATAATCATATCTTTAAAAATAGAACTGCAAGGCATTTCATTAAGTCATGTTTATCTTCTTTTTCATGTTTATCTTCTAAGAAATGTATATTTTCACTTACACTTTGAGTTTCCTAATACATATATTCAAGTAGAAATTCTTTTAAAAAGTGTCCATTCATGGACTTGTATCCATTGCATCATTTGTATTTGACTCAGTCACTCTACAAATGCTGGTGAATAATTGAAATAGTATATTACCTATATGTCAAAAGTAACAAAATACTAATATCAATATGCTTTATTTATGTGATTGTCATTATTAATAGTCTAGAAGCTGTGGCTGTGTAGAAGTCCTTTATAACAAACATATCATATATAGTCAAATGACTATCTCAAATTCCATCATTATGGTACACTAATTTCAATAATTTTTAGCATTTTGTCCTTTTGATATTTCAGAGGTACTTTATGAATTACATATAAAAATCAGTCCCATCATATTTTATTTTCTTAGTAGCCCTAAATAATCCCATCCCGGGATAGAGACTCAAGGATCCTAAATGGTTTCTGAATGTGTTCCGAACCCTAACATACTTGTAATGAGGGTGTAACTGCTACGCTGAAGAAAATATTCTTTGGAAATATACATCTCCTATTCCCCATCCCACAAAAAAAAGCAAGAAAACCGAATTGACTTTGCCATACTAAACCACTGGGATTAGAGTTTAAAATTCAGTAACTTTAAAATTTCCTTTTTGTCTGAGAATATGTGAAACTGATACTCTGTCCAATGAATACCAGGAGTTTTGTGTCAGATCATCCCTCCCATATATACTTTACTATACTGATTGATTTCTTTTTTAAAGTCAGACTTGTAGATATCAAACTGAAATATAAGATCATATTAGAACTCCTAAGACAGTAAACTGTAGTAATGGTAAAATTATTGAAGTGATTGATGAATGGTTTAGCCTAATAAGGCCTTGATGGCTTGATAAGTCTTCTAACTAGAATATTCCTAGAACTTCTTAATTTCTACCTATCTAGTGGATGAAAGCCATTTCACTCTGGCCTTAATTTGTATCTTCCTGATTTTTAATATGTCTGAACATCTTTTCAGAGGTTTACTTACTGCATGTGTTTGAGAAAATTTTGATGATTTTGCAAAGCTAATTATGTCACCCTGTCCTTTTTGTTTCTTTCTAACATGCATGGCACAGATAGAACACTTTGCTGTGCCTGCACCTACTGCATTGCCTTCCAGCGTGGTCTACTGCTCACAGTTCACTAGGAACTCACAATTGCTGCTTCACTGGGTCTCTATAAATTTGCTCATGCCATTCCTTCTGCAGAATTCCTTCTGACACCTGTGTTTTACTGTGTGTTAGTTAAAGACATTTCCAGGATATCTTCTCTCTTATGCTGAATTAAAACCTCCTCTTTTGAATTCTTAGACATACTCGGCAGAATTCTACCATTGTATAATCTCCAGGCTCCTATAGAACAAAAACTCTTTGTCACTTGATTTCCAGCACCTGGGAGAGTGTTTTATTTAAATATAATTCAGTGTCCACTGATAGGTGGTGTATATTTGAACTGAAGAGACTTCCTATAGCAAGCTACAAATACGGATTTGAAGTTCAGGAGAATGATAAATGGGCTAAAGATGCTGGTAATAGTGGAAGTCATTTAAGGCAAAGAGGGCTAATATTTGCAGGGTCTTATTTACAGTGGATACGGGGTTAGGCATTTATTAATTTATGCACAGCTCTACAAGGCAGCTACTGTTTTATAGATGAAGAAATAGACTCAGAAAGGTTAAGCAACCAGTCCAAAGGTTCACACAGCAAAATACACATTAAAGCTGGGACTTGTACGGCCCAAACTCTTCATTACACAACAGCAGATGAATTCACCAAGGGGAATGAAGTGGGGGCAGCAAGTGAGAGGAAGAATGCTAGAAGAGGCAATGTTGGGAGCTACATCGCAGAGATGGGTCTAGGAAGAACCCAAGATGGCAAACTGAGCGGAGGAAGAAACGCCATTAGGGGTTGGTGTGCTGACAAACAACAGCCAAATTCTTCAACGAATCGAGCCCAGTCAGTGCTTCCAATAACCAAGCCATTTAAGGACTGCATGGTATCTTCTGAGTTTCAATCTGGTCATTTGGTAACTTTGGAAATAAGAGCAGTAAAGAAAGCACAGGGAGCCGGGGTTTGGTGGCACAGGCCTTTAATTCCAGCACTCGGGAGGCAGAGGCAGGCCAATCTCTGTGAGTTCGAGGCCAGCCTGGTCTACAGAGAGTTTTCCAGGTCAGGCTCCAAAACAACACAGAACCTCCCCCCCCCCCCAAAAAAAAAAGAAAGCACAGGAAGATGAGAAAAGGTTGGTTGGTGATTCCTTCCACAAATGTAAGCCAACTAAACCCCGCCCCACCCCATTCCCCACCAGTAAAGAAAAGGTTGGTAGCCTGAATGCATCTGCATCGATGACTGATAGTATCTTTATGTAAAGGGGAGAAAGGAGACAAGTAAATAACAGGGGGCTTGGAAGGGTCTTTCAATTTCATCGACAAGGCTATCGACATGGCTATGTATGAGAACTTCAGTGGAAAATCCAGCAGGGAGAGAGAATTCAAGATTCATCCAAGGAAGCAATGCTTTGGGAAAGGCAGAAGAATCCAAAGTAAGGATTGACACCTCAGAGGCAGATGCCATACTAGGATGTGCACTGTCTTAAGATTTTTCCTTCAGAATAACTTTGCCGTCTATTAGCAGTGTTTTTTTTTTTTTTTTTTTTTTTTTGTTTGTTTTTTTTTTTTTTTTCATCAGCCTAGATCTCTATGGTTGCGTAACTGTACCCACAGGCTCTGACAGTCTCTGGGCTTGGCTTCCAAGGCTACCCAACATTCCAAAGCTAGATCAATAATCATCAAACATGCTTTGAACTTGCTTCTTTGTGGGCCGCCTACAGGATAAAGTGCAAAGTGCGAACATTTTAACCCTTCAGTCTGGCCTACTCAGTGTTCCAATCTTTTATCTTCTTCCTGTGTACAGGAACACGCAGCACTAGGCAAGACTCGTTCCTTCCCTCATGATCCTCGACATTTCTCACTGACAGGATTGTCTCTCTAGGCTGGTGGTCTTTGGCGGTCAGAAGGAGCTTAGATATCTGAGCTCGTGTTAATGTTCTGGATCCTTCTCGCTATCTGTAATTCCTCTCTAATAAAGGGCTCTACATCTTCACTTGGCATTAAGCCCCGAAAACTACACCTCCTGGTGCAAGGTCGGTGTCCCCACCTCTTACCGCAGCTAGCCTGCAGACACTGGATAAAATTCACCCAAGACAAGCCCAGGACCAGAAAGCCAGGCAATAATGAAGGCTCCGAGGTGAAGATGCTCAGGGACCTAGCTTTCCCGCCAGAAGCTCAAAACTCCACCCGCACCCCCAAGCCGCTTCAGACCGGTTCCAGCTGGATTTCTTCGGGCAGCTCAAACGCCGAATAGAATTCCTGCCCTTTCCCAGCCTCAACCAATCCCTGCACCCCTTCGGGCTCCCAAACCTCCCCGAACTCTGATAGGCTGTCGGAGCTAGCTTGGGGGCGGGCGCAGGGCGGACTGCAGGGTGGAGAGGGAGGTGGGGCCGGGCCTCGGGGCCAGTGCGCAGGCGCAGGGAGGAAACGGATAAACAAACAAATAAAACCCACCACCCGTAGGCCAGCCCCGGTCCCCGCCCCCTCGCCCCCACCCTCCGTTCGTCTCGGGGGCTCCACGCCTTGGCGAGCGTCCGGGCACGTCTCCCCTAGTGGCGCGTTCCACGCACGTCCCCGCACTTAACCTCTGCGCGCCCGGCGCGGTGCGGGCGTCGGGGAGTGCGAGCCTGCAGCGGCAGCCCCGCAGACCATGACTTGCTACCGGGGCTTCTTGCTGGGCAGCTGCCGGCGCGTGGCGGGAGGCCGGGCGGCTCTGCGGGGCTCGGGCGCGGACGGCCGGCGGCACCTGGGGCACGGGCAGCCGCGCGAGCTGGCGAGCCGTGGTAGCCGCGCCGACGGCGGCTTCCGCCCTTCGCGGGTGGTGGTGGTGGCGAAAACTACCCGCTACGAGTTCGAGCAGCAGCGGTACCGCTACGCGGAGCTCTCGGAGGAGGACCTGAAGCAGCTGGTGGGTCCTGGCGGGGACGGCCGGTATGGGGGTGGGGGTGGAGGATGAAGGGTGGGGTGCGGCGGAGCCCCGCGGGACCTAGGGCGCCCGCAAAGCTCGACGACCTCCCTCCGATTGCCTGTGGGCCTCCCCTCGAGCGTGGAGACTGGCGTCCCGAGCCCTCCTTGGAGGGGCCCCTGGGGCCGGGACTTGGGAAGCCACGTGTGCCCTCGTGTCCTCGCCCGGGCCCCGGGGGCACAGACTCCGATCGCTGAGAAGGTGAATCGGTGTCCTCATGGTTGTTCGCCTTGGGGACTTCTCCGCAGCCGCCCGTAGGAAAAAGAATTCCGGTGCGCGGCTGCTGGCGGCCGAGAGAGGGCCGAGGTGCCACGGACACACCCCCCTTGATGCTCGGGACCGAGGCCTGGCCAGGGAAAGCCCTGCTGGCATGTGGTCGCTGGTCCAGGGTCTCTGGCCACTTGAAAAGCGCCCGGGTCAGCGAGGCAGGAAAATTGACCTGAGATGTGTTTTTGTGTAGGAAGGTCAGACAAGGGACAAGTAAGCAAGGATAATGGGAGAAAGGAAGAGCCTGTGACTCTGAAGTAACATTGCCTCCGCGAAACACTGTATTTGGTGTATTTACTAATAGCCTTGCCAGGTGTGGAAGGGATTGAACCCAGAGTTTGAGCTTTCCCATTTTTGAAAATTTTGATTTTTGTGCTTTAGGAAAATTGGCTGTTAATAATTTATCTAGATTCTAGGTAAGTTTTCTGGATTCTAGAAAAAAAAACATTGAATACATTTGAATACCCGTACTTGTTGATTACAGGCACTTGAAGGCTTTAGACTTAATTGTGTATAACCGTTAGTTATCTAATTATGTACAAGAATAGGTAGGCTGCCTATTAAAATCCGATGATGCTTTGTAATATCATTTTTTGGGAGACAGGAGAAACACATTGTAAATCTTGCCTTAGCATCTTGTCTCTCCTGTTTGGGAAATTGAAGGACCACTTGGTAGAAGTCAGTGTGCAAATTTATTTTCTCTTTCCCCCAAGTGTTTGAAAGTATTTATAGAAAACATTTGCAGTGTCAGAGAGTATCAGCAGTTTGACTGGGGTAGTTTGTACAATTGCCAGAAGTGAATGCAAGGAGGTGGGAGATTGTTGGCCAGATGGAAGTACACTGTTTCTATTTTGGAAAAAGAGGTGTGTCCTTTTGGTTATATGCCCAACCTTGTAAGGTTCACCTTTTAGAAATTGTGAAATACCATGTATGCTTACTAGCCACACACAATTTTATCTAAGACTCTCTGGACTCAAGAAATAAACAAAAGTGAACTGGTACTTACTCTCAAGTCTCCAATACAGAGGGTGGAGCTCAAGGCACTTGCTCCCTGGTTCTGCATGACTGACTTTGCTTTTTTTAACTTCTCTAGATGTCCTCAGTGAAATAAAACATTTGTACTATAGTGTTAGCTTTTGTAAGTTCATTCACCTAGTTCCTGATAGGTTGGGCTAAGTAGCTCCCAAGGCCCTTTCTGCAGCTGGTTTTATGAAATTATTTCAAGGACTCTGGAAATCTGAATTGAGATTAACTCTTGTATCTTTGAACTAGATCACTACTAATAAAACCTTAAAATGTATTGATAATCAACGTCATTGAAAACTTAAATTTCCTCTTTGAGTGAGTGGTATTTGTCACTGGCTGATGCTACTAGGAAAAGAAAGCATTGGAGTATAACTGTGGGCTGTACAGTGGAGTTTTGTAATGACCTAGCCACAGAGCCAGAATAGGTTTTGTTGCTGTAATTTTATTGAATTTCTTCCTTACTGACAGGAGTTGATTTTGCATGGATGTTAAAGCCGTATTTGCACTGAAATTGCATTAGGTGTAGCCTGAATAAGAACCAGTAAGGGATACCTGGCTGTGTGACATTCTTCTACAATGATATTCTGTAGAAGGTAGGAATGGAAAGAATTTTATGTTTTTTTTTTTTGTTTGTTTGTTTTTTTTTTGTTATATTGTTTGAGTAAAACTCAACTAAGGTGCATGAATTAGTTACAAAAGAAAATGACCAATTGCTTATTTCATGACACTGTTACTATGGCTGCTGTGTTGGAACATCATGGTAACATGATTTTGTATGAAACTATTCTCTTTTGTGTGTGTGTGTGTGTGTGAATGTGTGAATGTGCATGCATGCAAAATTGTTCTCTATTTAGGGTACTTGTAAAAATCCACATAGTTGATGTTAGTCAGAGTGTCCATGTAGTTTTTGTCCCAAAGCCTCTGGTTTATGACTTTGTAGAAAGGTAAAGAATTACATGAGGTATTTTTTTAATTGATGAAGCTTGTACAAGAATAGGATTATATCCTTCAGCTTGGGGCAAAGGTTTGGCTTTGAATTGATCTTCCTGGTAGTATTGCATTATTTCAATCCTGCCTTTCTTCCTAGTGTTTGATTAATGACTTATCTTGGGAATGGAAGACTTTTAGTTAAGGATTTTCATTCCAAGACCCATGATCTTGCAAAGTCATAAACCACTATTGGGGTGTGTTTGTGACATAAGCTGGTGGCAGAGGTGGAGCTTTTATTAATCAGACATCTTGGCAGTCACATATTAGACTTTAGATGAAACAAAACTGATTTGGCAAGGATATTCTTGCCAAAGCCACACTTTGTCAGCCAAAGAGAAGGTTTTATTTAAAATACTTAATTGTACAAATCAAATAAGAAATGAGCAGTTTTCGCTTTACTTTCTCTTACTCTGTTGTAATCTCAGAGGGGCCATCTCTAATGGCTTCTGTTTTTAGATACACTAGGATAAAATAAGTTCACTTAATGGCACATCTGTTGGGCTAAATAATTTCTGCTTAGTCTTTTCATAGCTGGTTCTTAGGTGAAGATATAATGCCTTGCTTTTGTTTCCTTTTGTTTGGGGGAAAAAAAAGTGGATGCCTTAGGTTGTAGTAGGTCTTGGGCAGATTTTTCTTTTCTACAGTCAGCCGTGTAAGGAGTTAGCACATTAAAGATTGTGGTCTTGGGTGCTGTCAGGGCCTCCTAACTGAACCTTGTTGCTGTCAGATCATCTAGCCACAGACACCAGAGCTGTCTATCTAAGGGTGAACATCTGGTCGCTTGGCTCCTCTGCTTGTCAGTACTCTAGGCTCCCTCCATCCATCACCCAGGGAACCTAGCAAAGTAGATTCCTGAGCCATCCCTCACCATCTGATGCAGTGTAGAGGATTCCTACACTTGGCTTCTCTGTACCATATGCCTCAAATGCCTCAAATTACTATGGATGAATTCCAGAGATCTACATTTTTGTTATTTAAACCAGTGTCCTGTGTTTTCAAGTGGTTCCCAGAGTATACTGTGTTTCAGTAATTTCGTTGTAGATGGGGACACCTGTCTTCTTGGATTTCACTGCTTGTTATTTCTAGAACATCATGTTTGGCAATCTTAATTTTAATTTTCATTAGATGTGATGCTTTAATTTGAACTATTTATGGATCGGCAGTACATTAAAACTAAATGTAGGGGTTTGGGGATTTAGCTCAGTGGTAGAGTACTTGCCCTGGGTTCAGTCCTCAGCCCCAGGGGGGGAAAATAACAAAAAAGACACAAAGGTCTTTCTTAACAAAACAAAACAAAAACCAAACAAGCAAACAAACAAACAGACCAAAACCTAAATGTAAAGCAATGCTGCATAATGAGCCATTTCCTTCTCATTACTTTGTATTCAGTTTTGGCCCCTGCAAGTAACTTGTTCGTCCCTTTCTTGTGTTTCCTTTTGGAAACAACCTCTGTGTATGAGTAAGTACAGTGAAGTGCTTTTCTTTTTCTTTCTCTCTTTTAAACATTTATTCTTTGTGTCTTTCACATCATGCATCCTGATCCCACACATCCCATCCCCTCTCATCTGTCCTCTGTTCTTGCAACCTCATGCCCCCCAAAATAAAACAAGATAAAATTTGAGATGAAAGAAGATGGAAAAGAAAAGGAAGAAAGGGAAAATCTTGTCATGACATCTGCAGTGTAACCCAGTGAGTCACACAGTGAACCCCTTTATCCACACATGGGTTCACTGCAAAAAATCATTGGTTTGGTTCGAAGCCTCTGATCTATGCTGTGCTCCATTGTCAACACTGGGCTCTCACAGGGACTGTTCTGGACATTCTGTTGGTGCCCTGTGTCATGGGGATCCTGTAACCCCGTGTCCACAGAATGACCTTCCCCTACCATGCTCCAGCAGTGGGCCAACACTTAACCCTGGTCTGGACCTGGGTAGTTGCAGGGTTGGTCAGCCCATCAGCTCTCCCCATCTTCACCACCATGGCGACTTCTCCAGCACTGTCCTGGTTAGTTCACCCTTTTCAGCCATGAGTAAGATGTGGGGTCAGTTCTTCTGATTCACAGCCTGAGGGTCAGCTCTCCTACACCTACATCTTGAGGGCCAGCTCTCCCACCTGGCCCTCCACCTCTCCTGCCACCATATGACAGGGGAGTCATGGGAACAGCTCTCCCATCTGCCTCAGGCATCCATGGCCGGTCTCTCCCCTCATGCTGCCGCATGACAGATGAATAATGGGGATAGCTCTCTCATGCTTACAACTTTGGGGCTGGCTCACTCACAGCTCCACCGACAGGATTGCCTCTATTGTGCTGCCCTGGGCGAGGTGCAGAGCCTGTACTCCTGAGTGTTGTAGCTGGGTGGGTGAGGGGGGTCAGGGGCAGCTCTCCTGCTCTTATGACCTCAGGGCCAGCTGTCTTACCTGCCTCAGCTGTTGATAGGGTGTGAGAGGGTATCTCTCTCCTGCCTCAACCTTCATAAGACAGATGAGTAATGGGGACAGCTCTCCCAACTTACAACTTTGGGGCTGGCTCTCCCACACCTCTGCCAATAGGGTCAACTCTACTGTGCTGCACAGGGGAGTGTTGCAGCTGGTAAGGGGGGAGGGTCAGCTCCCTTACCCACCACAGGTGTTAGGGATAAGGGGGCTTCTTTTTCTGTACT